CACAGGGCTGGAGCGGGGGGTAAGGGGGGGTGCGGACCCAGCTCCGTGAGCGTGGGGCGTGGACTCACGGGTCAGGCAGCCGCTGTTGCCCCTCTGTGCCCCGGTGGCTAGGCCTCCCCTGTTTCTCCTGAGGGACTGGTGTGGAGGAGACTGAAGTCCAGCCAGTCCAGCAGTGGGAGGGGGCCCTGCAGACAGTCCTAGGGCCCCTGGGTCTTGCCCGTGGAAAGCAGACCCAAGGAATCAAGGAGATCCACTGAGAAGCTCCTCTTGCCCTGACTTGACTACTTGCTAAGGGGAAAACTAGCATAAGGATGTTAAAGAAAAAAAAACCCCTCCATCACGTGGGTGGGAGCTCACCCACTGCCTCCAGGACCAAACTGTCCCCTTTATGGGTGACAAGGCACCACTGAGTCTGCATGGGGTGGAATAGGCCCCAGGCTCTGAGCCAGCACCTGTTCACCTTGGGCAGAAGCTGAGCCTCCTACCAGAGCCAGAGCTCGGGACCCAGCCTCCTGCCAGGACAGGGAGAACCTGAGGAGAACCCCAGGCAGGGGGACATCAAAGACCTTCGTGCCCTTGAACTCCCCTTGTACAGGGCCACGTCAGGAAAAGTCCTGTGATGGAGAAAGTCTACCTGCCCCGGGGCGGGGGTGGGTGGAGACCCAGCTTTCTGCCACCAGCAAGGCAAAGACCTGTTTTTCTTTGGCCCCGATCTCCCCTCTTCTTTTGTGTAATTTGCACACTAAAAATCATTTGAAATTAACATGTCCTGGATAAACACCTTCATTTTTTAAAAATTTGCAAAATCTTCCAGTGAAAACACAAATGCCCGTTTTCTTAGGGAAGCATCGATCACTGCTGAGGTGGAAGGCAGCGTAAACGTGTCCTGAGTGAGAGGCACATTCACGAAAGCGCCACGTGGGAGAAATAAACAGATTTGGGAGATGATTATTGTGTTTTGGGGGATGAATCGCTACTTGTCTGAACTGCGGGGAGGTCGAGGGTGTTTTTAATTTAATGGATTAATCATTTATGTCTGGAGTGCTTGCTCCTTCCAATGAAAGCAATGTGGGAGGTTTGCATGAAGTCATAAATCATGTCAGTGTTTGGGTCTCATCTCTGGGAGGCCTTGTCTATGGGGAAGTTATACTAATAATTCGAGAGAGGCAGTTGTTTCCTGGAAGGGATTCCTTTAGCCACCAAGGTCAAGGTCGAGGCAGGGATGGAGAAGCTTCAGAGGATGGTGGCCCAGCCTATATATGGGGTTCCGCGCTTGCCACCAGGGAGTGAGGCAGCTCCAGGGAGAAGTCTATATTTTACTCATTTGGCAAATTTCTGTGGGTCTTAAGTTTTCCATCTGTATAATGGGTTGGAGGCTCTCTGAGGGGCAACCAGCTCAGACCATCTGTGTCCACCAACTACAGTAAAATATGGCTCGAGACAACCCCAAATCGCCCCCATATCTGTCCTACCTTGGACTATGAACTCTATGTGTCAGGCTTTTCCACATATCATATCTCACCAAGCCTATCAGGCAGGAGGTGCTTGTTATTCCCATTTTACAGGTGAGCTTACTTGCCTAAGACTGTATGTCACGGAAGTACCAGCACTAGGACTTAACCAGGTCTGTCTGGCTCAGAGTTCATGTCTTGACCCTTTGACAGAGGTGTTGCCAGCTTGGGTCTGCCCTGTGCCTAGGATGGACCAGCCCCCAGCCCAGCTCCTGTGCGCAGGACTGGTAGCTGTGTCTCCTGGGCCCATGGGCCACACATTAACTCCCCAGCACATCTGCTGTGCAGTTGGACTCTTCTGAGTCCCCTCCCGCCCCATCCCCTCCTTTCATCACTGTCTTTCCTGTCTTCCCTCTGTAGGAGATCCTAGCTGGAGGACCGGACACAGAACATTGCTCTCTATCTGCACATCCGAGGCACTGCTTCAGAGTAAGCCACAGGCCATCTGCCACGCCAAAGGGGACCAAAAGGGACCTCCAACAGCTGGGCAGCTGCACCGGATTCCACCCAATCTGCTCAGGGCCATCTTTCAAGCTATGGATAGTGGAAAGGAATAAATCCCACAGATGAATGCTGCCGCCTTCTCACCCCTTCCTCAAGGGCCTCCTTAGACACGTAGTGCTGCTCCTGTCCTGAGCACCAGCAGTGCCTTCCCAGCCTTCCCAGGTCCTCCGGCTGCAAAGTTACCCCCCTGGCTCCACTCTACAGCCGGCAAAGCTCCCCATGCCCACTGCCTCTGTGAGCCTCCTGGGAGCCTGAACAGTATCGGGAGCCTGCACATGACTTGCTAAGCCCCGCCTGAAGCTTGATGACACCAAGCCATGCAGTTCCCCAGCTTCAGTGCTGCTGAGGGCAGGGGCTGGGCCTTATAGTCATTGCCATGGGCCCTTCCTCAGATCCTTGCTGGGCCAGCTGTTTCTGATCAGGTCTAAGTTCAACACCCGGACAGACGTAAATGAGGCAGGGTTCCTGTCCCCTGTCCCCCCCAGTGTGCAGCTCATGTAAGCACACAGGAACTTCCTTTCTTTAATATGACTTTTTCCTTAATCCAAGCCAGTTTTTTCCAGTCTAAGAGCACCATGACTCACTTGCCTCCTTCAACCGGATCTCTCCCCCTCTGCACATACTGCATGGCCACTCCCTTAATCATTAAGCCCTCAGGACAGTTAGGTTCTGGTAGTCAAACTGTCTTAAAGAAAAAAGCCTCAAGTCTGTTGATCAAAGAATACAGTTTCCGTCAAACTAAAGATAACATCTCGACCTTAGTTATGTTTCAGCCCCAGACCCATGAAGGGGGACTGGCCCTACTGACTACGTTCCTGCAAAACCAGACAGAACAACGCCATGGCTGACATTAGGACCAGATGCAATGATAACTACCCCCTACCTTGGCCCTGACCAATCAGTAGGGCCCATGACCCCAACTCCCTTAGTTGCCATGAGTAATGATTTTCCGCCCTATATAATCCATCCCCAAGAAGCCACCAGGGGGCCAGGGTTTAGAACATTAGCTCACGTGTGTCTCCGGGCTTGGTGCTACTTCCTTAAATAACCCTTTGCTTTCTTTGCTACAAACGCCTAAGGGTGTCTCATTGGGCTTTGATGCATGCAGGAAAATGAACCCCTTCAGTCTGGTAACACCCACAGCAGCTCAACACTGATCTGACTGACGGCCCCTGATGACCCACATCTGGATTCTCCAACAGTGGTAACACCATGCCCAGCAAGGGGGGTGGGCAGGGGCCAAGAGCCTGGGCTCTGCAGTCAAGGTCTGTGCTGCAGTTACTAACTGCAGGCCTAGGGGTTCTGGGTAAATCGCTTACTCTCTCTGAGTCCCATGTTCCTCATCTGGAGCAGGAATGGTACACAATAGTATTCAGCAAGCGTTACTATTGTAATTGTGTCTTTCATACCACACTACTTTCAACAACACCTTCGCCTTGCCCCAGAGAGATTCCCTCTCAGTCCAGCACAGCAAACTTAACTTCTGAAAACTTTGAACACCTCCCACCTTGTTCCCAGGTCAGCAGGCAGTGGACTTGTGTCCTTTCAAGGCAACACTTGGCATATGTTAGCATGCTGCTCCCAGGAGGGAGCTGGTTAATGCACCCAAATGCCACCCCCAAGTGCCTGGGAGTCAGCCCAGCCCAGGGACAGCGGGGGCTCCCGGAGCTAGGGCCACCTGCGCGGCCTAGCCCAGATGTCATGGAGCCAAGCACAGAGAGTCGATTAAATGAGGTAGAAAACCGATCACAAATAAAGAGGTCCCAGCATGCTTCCTCTAAGTCTATTTATAGTACTTTGGCTGGAAGAGAAGTCTGAAATCTCTAAGCAATTGGGAAATGGATCTCAAAAGGCCTCTCTTTGGATCTCTGTGGGGAGATTTTGCTCTGTTTAGATTTCCCCAGAGCCAAGAGCAGACTCTTCAGGGGAGACTGAGCACTTGCTGGGCTAGTGGGGCTGTGGGAAGAGGGGAAGGGGGAGGAGGGAGGTGACAGGAAGAGAAAGGGGAGTGGGGAGGTGGAAGGTGGAGGTGAGGAAAGAGGGGGAAGGAAGGAAGCAGGAGGAAGAGGGGGAGGGCTTGAACAGCACTCTCCAAGGCCAGCTGCGTGGCCTACTCCCACCTGGAGAGAGGAGTCTCTTCTCTACTCTGAGCCCAGCACCAGGGGTTTGTGGGCCTGGGCCTTGCTCCTGGATTGGGCTTGGGAGTGAGGAGCTGGCTCATCAGCATCATGAGCTCAGTCTCAGAATTCTGGGGGAACTCGGGGCAGGAGGGCCCTCCCAGCACCATGGACTTGCCCTTGGTGTGTGAAGGCATTTAAGACCACAGGGACTCCTCTGGAAGCCCAGGCTCTCCCTGTGCGGAACAAGGCAGGTGGCTCCCCTCCTCTCCCTCCTCACAGATTTGCTTTGGAGGGAATAAAGGGGAGGGGGCTCCAGCCCTCTCTTTGTGCCCTTGGTTCTTGTGAAGTGTGGGCAGGATATGAAGGGCGGGACTGAGGATCTGGGACTATCGATTGATTTCCCTTTTCTAGGCTTGTCTGAGGATCCCAGGGACCCGGGATGAGCCACGTGGAGTTCTGCAAGCAAACATTCCCCAACATTGTACTATGCCGGGCACCCCTGGCCTGTTTTAGACCCAAAAACCCTCTTCACACTGCAGAGCTCTTGTCCTGCCCCTGCCGGGGAGAGGCCCAGACACTGCCTGCCGGCTGTGCATCACCCTGGCCTCTGAATCCCAGCCTGGGCTGGCTCGCCCAGTGGGTATTATAACTAATAATCCTCTAGAGATTTCATTGTAGGCCTGGCTTCAAGCCAACAAGCACAGCCGCAAAACCCAAAAGGATTAAGTAGACCCCAGCTCAAGGGAAATACTAATAAAATATGGCTTAGCAGGGATGAGTCTAAAAGTCCCTAAAACATCCCATAGGGTAAATGCACAGGCAAGCTCAGCTCACCCAGCTGTCCATAAATAGCCTGTCACCGTGGCTCCCCAGAGGCAAGCGAAACTGAACCTCATTCTTGCCATCTTGCTGAACACCAGCCGGCTCATCTCAAGGATGAGGGGCTGACTTGAGCTTCTACACTATTCCCTGACGCACCAACTCCTGCCCAGACCTGCTGGGTGGTAGGAATGATGCCCAGCTGGGTTTGGCTGGACCAGTCTGATTTCCCCAGGGTGCTGATCCGCCACAGCACTGTGGGGAGACAATGCCGTGTTTGTTCTGATGGCTGGTGTAGCCAGGTTGGGGTCAGAGCATGGGCCCTGCCTCTAGAACAACACCCGCCAGTGGTGTGACCCCAGGCAAGTGACCTTACCTAGAGACTCGTCCATGATGTGGGTTAAAATATACCAATTGGGAGAGTCCATGTGACATGTAAGCACAGGACTGGCTGGAATAAGTGCTCAGAAGACCTGGGCTGCTGTAATTGTTGATGCTGTCCCCAGGAAGGGTTACTTTTTCCTGGTTCCCAGAAGTCCTGGCAAGGCAGGGGCCTGGGAGAAGCACAGAGCCTCCCAAGCCTGCTCAGGTTGGTCTTGGCTCGGCCCCAGCTGAGGCTTGTTGAGCCTCTCAGGGAGGGAGATGAGAAACAGCCTGTTGGAGGAAATAGTGCCTCCCAGCTGGATAAGTGATATGGGTCCACACTGCCTGGAAATGGTCCTGGGTTTTAGACAATGTCTTTTTCTCACTGGAGCCAAGACCATACACAGCAGCTCACCGTTGCTGCCGTGTCCCGAGGGGACACTGCTGGAGCCTCAGCTGCTGAGCGAGACTTGCCTCTGTGACTCACCCCCTTGCACCAGGATTCACTTAATCAGAGAGGGCTTTGGGTGCAGCCAGACATGAAAATTAGTTGGTGGACGTTGTCCTTTTCCATCGCTCCCCTTTACTTATGAGAAAGGTGGGGCATTTGGGGGTCAGATATTTCTTTAAGAAGACAGACTACAGGAGAGGGGGAGGGTTGTTCAGAGCAGCATTTGGGGAATGCTTTGAGGGGACGACATGCACGGAGCCATTTACTAACCATTCACCTGCAGGACGTGGGTCTGGAACAGCTCCTCGTGGCCGGAGGCGTGGCAGGTGTAGTTGCCCATGTGGATGGTGGTCACCTTGGTGATGTAGAGGGAGTCGTCCTCGCCGAAGTCCTGCCCGGGGCAAGGAAGACAGTGCGGTTGGCCTCTCTACTGAGTAGCTTGTGGTTAGGCAGGTCTCCCAGTTTTCCAGGGAAACAGAAATGCTGTAGCTTCGAGAGCCTTCCTTCCTGCCCATCCCCTTGCTCGCCAGAGCTGCCTGCAGGGCTGTGCAGGCCTGGAAGCAGGGACCGCATCTCTGTCTCGTGTCGCTTGCCCAGACCCTGTACATCCACTTAAGGCCTCTTTCTCCTTCTCTGGGACGCTGTGCTTGAGCACCTTCCCCAGCAAGCTCCCTCTCCACGTCAGCCAACTGGGCTCACCTGCCTGCTGGTTATGGGCTGGCTTCCTGGGCTCCTGCCCACCTGGTCCTGGAGGCGCCTTGTTTAGCGCAGGCAAAGCTTTTCTTAAAGGGACAGATTGCAACTTTTTTTGGTTTTGTGGTCCACAGAGCTCCTGTCAACTACTCAGCCCTGCCTTGTAGCATGAAAATAGCCAAAACGATGCATAAATTAAGCAGTCTTGATTCCAATGAACTATATTCCAATGAACTTTTGGAATTAAAAAAAATATATATAGGTGGTGGGCTGGAGTTTGCTCACCATGGGTTTAGATCCCACCTTGATACTAAAATAATTTCAGGCAGCTTGCAGAGATCTGAATAACCCAAGAGAAAAGAAATAAAACTCTGAGGAAGATGGGGCAAGCAACAACAAAGAGCAGGGCATAAAGAGCCAGGAGGGCTGGGGTGTGCGTGTGTGTGTGTGTGAGTGTGATTCCATGGGAAATGGCTCAGTAAGCCTTGTCCCTATGACCCTGCAGCTCACAGGGTGGGCTCCTATTGAGCTAGTGTGTAGGGGAGGGAGGGGCAGGAGGAGGCTTTTGGCTGGGTCAGGGGCCACTGTGAACAGTTGGGCACCCCCTCCCCTGGGGCCTTTGGGGTCACCTGCATTCTCTGTAGCAGAAGCAAGCACAGTGCTGGCCCTGACCCCTTCCAGGCCCAACTGCAGACATGCTGGGGGATGGAATTACCTGGTGCTTCAGGGGGACCCTTCATCAGGTTTAGTCTTAGCTACCAAATATCTCTGAGGTGTGGTGCACAGAGCTAAGGGGACAGAGGAGGGCCTGGCTCACTGGTGAGAACCAGGGCTGTGCCATGTGGTTGTGAGGTGATGGGCCCAGCTCTGGGACACAGGAGACTCAGGTTTTTGCTTAAACTCTGTCATGGACCATATGTTCCTTTGTCCCTCTGGCCAAGGGTGCCTGCAAGTGTAAGTTATGCCCTGCCTGCCTCATGAGGTGCTGGGAGGTGTGGCAGGAGAGTGTCTGTGAATACGTTTTCCATCGTGGGGAGTGTGACATATGTGGGGATGTTACTCTTCTTGTCATTATTAACAGAAGATGCAAAACTCCTCTTGGCCTGCTGGAGCCAACACCAAACCATCCCTCCTGCCCTTCCCGTGGCCTTTTTCCACAGAAGCAATCTGGTGGCAGGAGGGAGGAGAGGCCACCAGGCAGTAGGGCACAAGGGCTGTCCAAGGGCAGCGACATGGCAGCTCCTAGTCCTGGTTCCTATTCCTGCTCCTGCTCCCTGAAACGCTGGCCCTCTGTGTAGCTCACACTCCAGAGGGCCCAGCCACCACCCGCTTGAGTCCTTTAAAGATGCCTTCTGGCCAATTAATTAGCCCAGTGACGGGCGCGGGCTCAGAGAGAGGCCCTGGTTAGGCAGAGGCGGAGGGTGGGTGGTGGACGCCTGCGGCCCGCTTTCAGAATGATCCCAACAGCGCCCCCAGTGGAGTAAAAATTGGGGAGCGCTGCCGGAATCCTCTGAGTTTCTCTGAAACATGGCTGTTTCGAAAAGCCCCCTCCTACCATTCTGCCAAAGCTTCGGTAATAAAGATAAAATACCAGAGAGCTGACTTGTCCTGTGTCATAGCAGAGTCATAAAGGGCTCATACCGGAGTTGCTTATGAGAAGTTAATGGTTAGTCAGTTCTGAGGCTGACATATTTCTGGTCTAAGCTATTTCCTGTGTCAAAACCTAAGTCTGGAGGAAAATATATTTTGCTGGCGTCCCAGTGGCAGGATGGCATCTTGAAAGAGGGCTGGGATGCTGGGTGCAGCCCTCACCTTGGGAGCCTCTCAACACCTCATCTGGTCGGTTCCAGGGCAGGCTCCATCCCAAAGGGCAGCCCCAGAGCTGCACACAGTAGGTCTGGTGCTGGGGCCCCTGGCATTCATTTCCTCTGAATACTGCCTTCCTGAGGCTTTGAGCCCACAGCCCTTCCTCACGGGAGGGCCCTTGGCACCCCCTGTGCTTGTTGTCACCTCCTTGGGGTTGTGTGGTCACAGGACCACAGCGTTCCTCAAGCTGAGAAGTGCCCCAAGGCTGAGGTTCCCACAGATCAGTGCAGAGCCATGCCACAGTCTTTAAGAGCTAACTCTGTGCCAGGAAATGTGACATATATCACCTTGTTTAATCCTCACAAAACCCCTCTGAAAGCCATAAAACTGAACAAAAGCCCAGCCCTGCCTCTCCTTCAGGGCACAGTCAGAGCCCAACCTTCTCTCACCACCTCTACTGCTCCCCCCGGGGGCCAAGGCACCATCTTCCCTCTTGGGGGATGGCAGGGACCTCCACACAGAGCCAGACCGTGCCCCTGCTTGCCCAGAGCCACAGCCCTAGGGGGTCTGCAGGGATGACCTACCTGTCTCCTCTCCCCCCCAGCTCCCCCCTCCCCTTGCTCATTTTACTCCAGCACCGTGGCCCCTTGCTGTTGCTCTCACATGCCAGGCCCCCTGCCCCCTCAGGAACTTTCTACTTGCTGCTCCCTCCTCCCCAAAGGCTTGCTCCCCTCTTTCAAGTCTGCTCAAATGTTATCTGCTGCCCTTTCTGCACCCCCATCCAGCCCCCCACCTTCCTTCCTGCTTTATTTCTCTCTCTGGCACTCCCTACCGTCTAGCATACTGGTTTTTTTGGTATTTGCCTTGTTTGC